CCTGAGTTCAAACCCCAGTGCCACCAAACACACACACACACACACACACACACACACAGAGACAGATGGGGTATATATAGTAGAAATACAAAAGTCAACCAAAAGAGCTCCCAAAGCTGAAACAATCTGAACAAAACTTACACAGACATTCCAACCTTGGGTAGGTGAAACACTCTTGTGTGCTACACATAGTGAATTCCTTTCAAAGAGTACTATATGGAAAGGGAGGAGGAAAAAAAGTAACTTGACAAGAAGCAATACACACTACCTCAAGGCAGGTGATCATGGTTAACATCAGCACTGTAAGTGTTAATAGTATATACCCAATATATGATAAGAATGACACTCTACCTCTGGGGTCTTCCTTCCAAAAGCACATTATTACATCAATCTAACCACAGAAAGTACACCAGATGAACCCTAAAAAACACCTGACCAGTAATTCAAAAGCATAAAGTCAGGGAAACTGTCATAACCAAGGGAGTTGGGGAGACATGACTATGCAGTGTAATGTGGCATCCTGGATAGGATCCTAGAAAAGAAAAAACATTAGTGGGAAAACTGGAAATCTGAATAAAGTAGGGATTTAGTAATAATGTATCAATATTGGTTCATTAACTGTGACAAATGCACCAAACTACTGTAAGATGTTAATCAAAGGACAAACTGCATATAGGCTCTAAGAATTCTCAGTACTAACTTCATAATATTTCTGTAATTCAAACAGTTCTAAAAATACAGTTTATTTCAAATGTAACATATTTGTGATGTATATACACCTGTCACTTTTACTTAGTGCATCTGGGACACAAGTGCCTAGAAATATGGTCTTTGCCCTCAAGAAGCTTTCTGTCTAATCATGAAGGAAGACAAATGCTCATGTAACAAAAATAAAAGACAAAAACAAGAAAACATTAAAGGGTATAGACAAAAGCATATTAGGAACATAGAAAAGGTCTAGAATTATGAGGGAAAACTTCAAGAAGGAGATAAAACTTGGGTTTGTATCTTAGTATGTATTCCAAGGGACCAAAGTAAAAAAGAATGATAAACAGGTACATGTACAAGAACCACCAGAATGATGAATAAAATTTTTTTTTAAAGCTCAAAGAAATTTAAAATTTTTATCCTTGAAAAGTGAAGACTTAAATGAGAGACAATAGCATTGTTCATGCTTCAAGGGTCATGTGGCAGAAATAATAGTTACATCATATACCCACTTAACTTACAAGCTGATGTCTGGTAAAATGTGACCAATGCTCAAGGACAAAGTGACAGCTGTTCAGTAGAACCAAAACAGGAAATGCCAATTGGGAAAGGCAGAAAGCAGGTGGCCAAGTTCTTCTCTACAACTTTTCAAAGGACAGCATGTTTGTGGGCCCAGAGAAGCAAAAATCTTAAGACATTTTCAAATCCCGCAAACATTTGTTGGCATTTTATGTGCCACATCCTTTCCTATACATTATCTTGCTTAATAGTCACAATACATCAATATTTGTTAATGTAATAGAGACTTAACATAAAAACAGAATTAAGTAAACTCTGAATGGAAACAGGAATCTATTACAATTCTCCAGGGCTAGCAGAGTGGCTCAAGAAGCAATGCATCTGCCTAACAAGCACAAAGCTCCAAGTTCAAATCCACCATCCCCCACACTCTGACAGGGATTAGGTAACTATTTTACTTAGGTAACTATTTTAAAAAGCAAAATCATTTGAAGGTCTAGATATCTACAAAACAAATTATTCCCCTTGCTCCTTCCCTTAGTAAAGCTCATGTCTCTCAATCTATAATGTATGTAAGAACTATAAAAAATTACATATAAAAAAATGCACACTCTATTTTTTTAGCAATATAAGGTATTTTCACATTTTGTGATTTTTGCCTCATGAACTAATTTGAGGACTTAATCCTGGGATGAGGAGAAACTCTACTCCAAGCTTACTCCAAGATAGGAAGGTCAAATCCTATAGGAAAAACATTGTAACAATAAGATTTAAAAATTACATAACTACCTAAAAGTCATGAGTTTTCTGTCACTACAGGTGTTCAAATAGAAGCTGAGTAGTCACTCAGAATACTTCAAAAAGAGCAACTGGATGATAAGCTAACTACTCTTTGAAGACTCTCAAACCCTGATAGGAGGAAGACAACCTAGTTGAAAGCAACAAAATGAAAAAAGACACCAAAGCAAAGATGGCAAGTTTTGTGAGGAAGTGCAATGCTGGGGAACATAGGAGAAGCTCATTTCCATCTGCAGACCTGTGTACTTGCTGTTTCATCTTGCCCATCTGTCAGGGCACAACTCAAGTATCTTCCCCCTCATGAGGCCTCTCTTAAGTAACCCTCTAACTCCCCCTTCCCCCCAAGCTTGTCACATCAGTTCACTTTATTTTCTTCATAATGTATATTAGGGATTAGCAAACTTTTTCTATAAAAGTCCAGACCATTGCATACAAGCCAAACCCAGCTTGCCCCATGTTTTTGTATGGCCTGTGAGCTAAGAATGGTTTTATATATTTAAATGGTTGGGGGGAAAAAAAATCAAAGAAATAAATATTATTTCATGACTTGAAAAACAATATGAAATTCAAATTTCAGTGCCCAATGTTTAACTGAAAAACAGATATGTTAGCCACTGTCTGGCTGCTTTTGCACAAAAACAAAGTTGAGCAGGTGCAACAGAACTTGAATGGTCCATAAAGCCCAAAATACTCTCTTGTCCTTCACAAAAAAATTTTAGTGACTGATGGCTAACATTATTATCTAAAATGATCTTGTCTATCTGCCTGATTGTTGGATTACACATTTCTCTCTTACAGACAGAATAAAGTTTAATGAGGACAGAGGCTTTATCTGTTTTGTTCCTACCCTGTAGCCCAGTACTTAAAAAAAATTCTGGAACATAGTAAGAGCTTAATAAGTATTTGATGAATAAATTAACAAATGGGCCATAAATGTCACTCTGACTAGTTTAAACTCAAGGCCTCAGCCATTCTAGGTTTTATGATATGCATAAGAACTTCTACAGAGAAAGGGAAGTATTTTAGTAAAGAGGACCAAACAATTTAAGTCATCAAGTAGTCTAAGACCTTGGGATTCCTCATGAACTTGAAACTACAGGTTTCTTGTGCTAATAAAAAATTCTCTCAAGGTGTCACAACATTGTCAGTTGATTGTGCTTCTGTTTATCTTAAGATGCAAATGCTCTGGGACTGGTGGAATGGCTCAAGTGGTAGAGTGCCTGCCTAGCAAGTGTGAGGCCCTGAGTTCAAACCCCAGTACCACTGCCAAAAAAAAAAAATGAGAAGATGGTTTCCATCTTCCCAAAAAAAAAAGATGCAAATGCTCTGAGAAATCTCATTTCCTATACATAGTACACAGCACCAACGCCATGCCATATCTTTAACAAATGCTCATAATTACGATAGATCTCGATCATGTGCTAATGAATTTTTAGTATCTAAATTTTTCCTATGCTGATCAGCAATCTATTCTGTAAGCAACTGAAAACTCTAGAAATTAAAAGGTTACCACCCACAGACCAGAAGCAGCTTTTTAATCTTTCTATACCAGCCAGAGAGTGGGTGTGTGATTTCAAAAAAATACAAGCCAACTCTGTTGGTGGAGGACAAGTTATTGTAGAGTTAAAATCCCACCTATAAACATCGTTTGTTACATGACACTAGTAAAAGTACCACCTACTCACAAATTCAGTCTAGATCTTCAATCTACAAATGGAGAAAACAATGTACCCACCTCCTGGAGGACTTTTATGTCATTAACGTTTTCATAAGGTTCTTTTTCCTCCAGACTTTGCACAACAATTTCTATACACAGGTACTTCAAAAGACAAGGGTTTAACTATCACTTCCAAAATGTAAGATACTGGACAGAAGGCATGAAATAAATCAGTTTTACTTCATTTTAAAGCAGCCACCTGCTTTTTCAGCCCTAGGTTTGTTGGGTTTTGTTTGTTTTTAATCAATAAGCTCATTTACGAATTCAGGCCTTGGTACAGATACTATAAAACTGAGAAGTATGTCAAGACTTACAGCAACCATTTTGAATGGGGGAAGGTCATCTTTCTTTATCACAAACAAATCAGGATGAAAGGCAGCCTGCAAATACTGTGTACATCTACCAAGGCTAACCCATAATATGTCACCACAGCAAAAGAAAAGAAAGTGATCCACAGCACAAGTGGGCTGCCTCAAGAAACTCCGCAGTGGATTCACCTGGAGGAGCCTCACCATAGACCCTGTAAAGGGGTGAACCTTGCCGACCACTGGCCAACGTTACTCAACCTTTGCTTACGCTGAAAAATCAGGGATGTGCAAGCTATAAACGGACCTCTGGCTTTTTTAGAGACGTGCCCCCACTTCCTCTTCCTAGAGAGTTAATAAAGGGCACCCTAGGGCCAAGTCCAGACAGCCTAGCCCCTCATTCCACCTTGCACCACTTATCTTCCCCGGTACTGCAGGATCCCTCCTCCCGTTAAACAAGTTCAAAATCAAAACAAAAGATGCAAAACTGGCTTCAAGTGGCAATGGCTAAGCCCCGGTGGCCAACTTCTAGGGACGCCGGGGCTAGCGAGGGCTCCTTGGACCTAAGACCCCTCCCCCCCCAAGAGAGCCGGCTCCCCAACACCCCCTCGGGACTCGGCCCAACTCTTCTCTCGCCCCTCCCGCCCCTCGGCCAGGAGGGGATGCAGGAGAGGGAGCGCGGAGAGAGGGTGTGGAGGAGGAGAACCCCAGGGTCAAAATGACAGCGGGGAAGCTAGGAAAGGAGACAGGCCCGGCGGGAGGCTGGGGGTCGAGCCCTAGGCCCGGGGCTTCAGCCTCGAACGGGGGGCAACCGCAGGTCCGAGCCGCGCCAGGCCGCGAGCGGGAGGCCGGGCCCGCGTCGGCGGCGGCGGGCCACACTCCTTCACGACTGTCCCCACCCACGACGGAAGGGCCGTGAGGGGACCGCGTCCGGGGCGGGGGCACACACTCACCGGCGGGGAGGGGAGGAGCAGCCGGCGTCTCCGCCAGCGCCTTCGCTCGAGCTCAAGCGCCGGCTCCGGCCGCTGCGGCCGCCGCGCCCGGTCCATTCCCCCCCAACCACCACCACCCCCCCCGACCCGACCCTCCCCCCGCGCTGCCTAAGCCGCTGCCGCCGCCGCAGCCGCCTCGGCCCGTGCGCGGGAGCGCGAACCGGAGCGAGGCAACTGGAGGGGGTGCACGCTCCCCGCCACCACCGCCACCGCCCACAACCTCCGCCCCCGGCCGAAGACGCATGCGCGATGCGGCGCGATCGGACGCGCGCACGCCGCAGGGGCGTGGCCAGGGCCCGGAAAGGCGTGGCCACGCTCCCAGTCCGCCCACCCACGCGGTCGCCGGCCCACTAAGCAGAGCAGTTGTTGCAGGTGGTGCGGAGCGGCTCCAGGTGAGCTCCTCCTTGGCCCAAAGTTTGGGGAACCGACCGCCTCAGGCCAGGCTCCTTTTCTGGAGAACGACGCCCCAAATCAATGCAGGTTTGAGCGGATTTCTAACAGACGCTCCGAATGGCACATTTATTTTCCCTCCATTGAGTCAAAAGGCCTTCCACCTAGCGGGCTGCTGAGAAAAGGCCAAAGGCTGTTATTTTACCTCAGAATTTATTGCCACTGACGAGACCGCAAGCAGCTACCAGCCCATCACTTTATATCCCCTTTCCTTTTTCCTTTTTTGTTCATCACTTAGGTGTTGAGGTTTCATCTGTGTTGGAGGCGAGGGGAGTACAATATGGGGATAAACGGAGACCTCGGCCTCATAAGGTTTGAGAAAGGAAACGTTAATGGAGGAAACAGACAGGGTCAAATTTGTAATTAGCAATGACTCCTCTGAGAGGTACATGGTGCTGAGAACCTTAATGGGGGAATTGATGTAATCAGGGATGACGGGACTACAATCCAAAGGCTGAGTTGGAGAAGCAAGGGGTGAGGGGTGCAGTGGCAAAAGGGGGAGTGGTAACACTGAGCGGAGTGGGCGGTGAGCGTGGGAAGAGGTAGGCAAGAGCACAAGCAGGTTAAGGTTTGGGGACTTTCTGAGACTTTCTCGCAGCCTTTGAGTTTTTTCCACCATGATTGCAGGACAGTAACTTGATCATCATGTCTGTTTTTAAATAATTACTCAGCACTGTAAACAGTGGCCTGGGGAAGGGGACATCAGAGTTGGAGCAGGTAAGCCAGGTAGGAAGTGACTGGACAGGTGGTCAAGGCGAGCTAGGAGGGTGGTAAAGAACACTACTTATGTGGCAAGAGGACTTAATGGACTGGATGAAGAGTGAAAGAGAGAGAGGCAGCCAAACTGACTTAAATTTGAGGTGGTAGAGGTGTATTTGTAGGTTCCAGGAGCATCAGTGGAAACTGACTCAAAAATGGATGATAAACCTAAATTTTTTGGTTTTTTGTGGTATTGGGGTTTGAACCCCAATACCAGGGCCTTCCATTTCCTAGGCAAACGCTTTACCATTTGAGCTCCCCAGCCTGATAAACATGAATGTAAAAGTAAAACTAGAAAAGTTTTAGAAGAAAACATAGACAATATCTCAGTGACCTTCACATAGGCAAAAGATTTCTTAGGACACAAAAATCATGAACCATAAATGAAATGATTCATAAGTTGAGCTTTATCAAAATTTAAAACTTCTGCTCTTGAAAAATACTATTAAGGAAATGAAAAGGCACATGGGGATGTAGCTCAATGGTAGTGCTTGCCTAGCATGTGCAAGGCCCTGAGTTCGATTCCTAGCACTTCAAAAGAAAACAGGAAGACACAGATGGGAAGAGGTGTTTGCAATATAATATATCCAATGAAAAAAGAAAGTCTTGTGTCCAGAGTGTATTTTTTAAAGAAACTTTTTTTTTCAGTGCTGGGGATTGAACGCAGAGCCTTATAAATGCTAAACACAGATTTCACCACTGAGGTACATCCTCTACTCTTAAAGAACTCTCATAACTAAATAAGAAACACAACCCAATAAAACATAGTTGAAAGGATTTAGTAAATACTTCACGGGATGTCACAATGGCCAAGTATTTTTTTTTTTTTGTGGGACTGAGGTTTGAACTCAGGGCTTTGCACTTACAAAGTAGGCATTCTACTGCTTGAGCCACACCTCCAGTCTATTTTGCTTTGGTTATTTTGGAGATGGGGTTTGATGAACTATTTGCCTGGGCTTGTACTAGAACCTGGATCCTCCTAGTCTCAGCCTCCTGTGTAGCTAGAAATACAGGTGGGACCCACTGGCACCCAGCTAGAGTGTCTGCTTTGCAAGTGGAAAACCTTGATTTCAAACCCCAGTCCCCCACACACACACACACACACAAAAAAAAGCCCAATTAGCAACAAAAAGACGTTCAATGTCTTTAATCACCTAGGAATTTGCAAACTGAAACCACAATAACATACCACTAGGTATGTTACCTCATTAGGATAGCTAAAATTAACCATACTTAATGGCCAAATTAAGACAGAGCAAAGTCATGCTTCCACTTACTGTTATTCGGTTATCCTGCATGTGACCAAAAACAGCAGCTTTCCCCAAAAGAGGATGCAAAGACCCTGGGTACTGTAACCTTTCTACATTTGATACACCGCAACTTAATACTGACATACACAGTTAATTATTAGTGATAAATCCCCATTGCATAGTAACAACTGTATTTTCCTTTAATATTTAGCATCAGCCACTCCAGCCCCTACAGGGACTCCCTTTGTCTGTTGATTCAGAGGTATGAAATGCCCCCAGTGTCCAGGTAACTCCTGGTAGAAGTATTCCTGTTTGCAGCTAAGACCCCCTAGTCCACAAGAGCTTCTGGCAATTCTTCCAGGCAGAATTAGCAACCAAAAGCACTGCTTGAAGTTCTACCACCTTGGAGCCTTTTCCTTCACCATTATCCTTCAGGGATGTCTCTGGAGTGCAGCAGCTGTCTGTAGTCATGTGCCTGTGTATCGTGAACAGCCTCTGTAAACTAAGCTGTAAACCATGATCGAGTTCTCTGTTCCTAGGTCAGCTGTTCAGAGGGAACAGTCTATGAGGCCACAGGTGCAGGCTAAGAGAGAGAAGGCAGAGGAGCAAGGATCATAGGCACTTGGGCCACTTACTTGATCCTCAGGGCCCATTTAGCCACCCAGTGTCATATGCATCACTTCAATTTGATGTGCAGTTGTGGTTTTGTAGCCACATTCAGTTGTGATGGGTAGCTTAGGTCACATGGTAATTTGATGGCCTGTGAGTAAGCGATCAGTGTCCACCAAAGCCCAGCAAGCCAAAAGTTGTCTTTCAAGAGACAGCTGTCTCCACAGGCAGAAGAGGGCAGGGTTTTGCTCCAAAATTCTAAAGATCTGCTCTGTGATTTCCCCCACGGTATCCACCATCATCTCTATCAGCCCCTTTCCCGATAAGACTGGCTTGGTTTTCAGAAATCTTGGCTCTAAGCGTTTCTTTCATGGCAGATAGAGGACCTCCCCTCTCAGATCACCTATGCATAGGTTAAGTCCTACACCTTGAGCCACTCCTCCAGTCCTTTTTTGAAGGGTTTTTTGAGAGAGGGTTTCATGGAACTATTTGCCTGGGCTGGCTTCAAACCGTGATTCTCCTGATTTCTGTTTCTTGAGTAGCTAGGATTACAGGTGTCAACTGGCGCCCAGCTCTGAGCTCATGTTTTTTTCCCCTACTGTCTTCAGTGCACCTGGGGGCAAGCAGTCAATGCCATTTTCTTCCTTAGTTTGACTACAGTATTCTGTGGTAACAGATAGCCGGTCACTCCGGATCTTGCTTTGGTTGGTCCTGAGTGTGTTTGGTGAGGAATGTCCAAGTCTCATCATGCCAAGGACCTACCAGTGTTCTCGTTAATCATATTAGAGAACCAATTCAAGAAAACCCAGAACCAATTGAGAAAACTCTTCTTTAGAGTCTTTTCCTCTCAACCCTATATCAGAGCTAGCAGGAGATTCAAGGAACTGACTTACTTGAAATCTGTCAGGTAGGCAGGCAAGAATACGCTGGCGCTCTCAGCAAGGGCAGATGCCACTGTTCACAGGCAAAATTTCCTCAGGGAAACCTCACCTCCACTTTTTTTTTAATTGTTGTTGTGATGGGGGTACATTGTGACATTTACAAAAGTTCTTACAATATATATCATTAAATTCACACCCTCCATCATTCTTTAACTCTACTTTCAAGGACTTTCCACTGATTGTATCAGGTCTACCCAGATTATTTACGATAATGCCCCTCACCGAAAGTCAATTTTTTGTGGACTTTAGGCAAATCTGCGCAAATACCTTCATTTGTTTTGTTTTGTTTTTTTTATTTGCAGTGCTGGGGGTTGAACTCAGGGCCTCATGCAAGCTAGGCAAGTGCTCTATCACTAAACTACATCCACAGCTCTAGATTTGCATTTGATTGAATAACTAGGGACTATAATCTGGGCAAGGTGGCACCTCAAAAAGTCTTACCACAAGCTAGTCATGGTGGTTTATGTCTGTATTCCTAACTACTCAGGAGTCAGAGATTGGGAGGATTGCTATTTGAGGCCAGTCCAGACTAAAAAAAAAAAAAGGTTTGCAAGACCCCATCTCAACCAATAAAAACTGGGTGTGGTGGCATATGTCTGTCATCCAAGCTGTTGGGGAAGGGTAAATAGGAAGATCGTGGTCCTGACAGGCCCAGGCATAAAAAAAGCAAGACCCTGTTCAGAAAAATAACTAAAAGCAAAAAAGACTGTAGCTCAGCAGTAGAGTGCTTACCTGGCATGCACCAGGCCCTGGTTCCTTTTCCAGTGTTTATTGCATGTCAGTAACATCTTAATAGTTTTAAAAGGTTCAAGATCGTCTGGCTCACGCCTGTAATCCTAGCTACTCAGGAGGCAGAGATCTGGAAGATCATGGTTCGAAGCCATCCCAGGCAAATAGTTCTTGAGACCCTATCTCAAAAACCCCTTCACAAAAATAGGGCTGGTGGAATGGCTGAAAGTGAAGGCCCTGAGTTCAAGCTCCAGAAACTCAAAAAAAAAAAAAAAAAAAAGAAAGTTCTAGATCATTCACTCTTTTCAGAAAATGGCAACCTGAATG